ATGCAATTAACTTCCAATGATCATAATCACTGCAATGCGTAAAGTACTTGCAGCACTGACAGATTTGTACTTATGATTCCTCTGAAGTGATGAAAGGGTATAAACACCATTTTCCAGATGAAAGCTGGAGCAGGGAGAATTATCTGTTAATATTGTTCTACATACTGATTTTAGTTATGATCTTATTGTGCTGGCCGTTGTACACATCAGGGAGTAAAACATCCCCATTCCTTCAAGTCCCATAGACAAGAAAGAAGAACAATGAAGGACAGGTGGAGCCCATGAAAGCAGAAATACCAGAGCTCCTTCACTATAGTTTTATTCTCCAAATCATTTTGAGAGATCACATTTGGAGGAGATTAGGCCAAGGGACCAATCAGGAAAAACAAAACAAACAAACAAGCAAAAAACCCCAAAACAAAGAATAACAAAGAAAGGACAAATTCTTCTTGCAAGTAACTGAAGAAGATGGAAATGATGTGAAGAGACATTTTCAAAAATATCTCCCTATCTTTCTAACGGTATTCTCAAATTATCCCTGAAGATCTCCTTTTTAAACTATCACAGTGTAGATTGTAGCTAAAAACTTTTGCAGATTTTATTTTGTTTTTCTGTTTATACTACAATAGAAGTTAGCTGACATGCTTTGTTTTCCCTTTTTTTCGTTATGTCCATAGTAATTCCTTAAGTGAGCACATATTTCTGATGAAGTCTCTAGGCCTAGAGTGCAAAATTAGGCATGTCGTCAAGTACCTATCAGTATTTCTACTTGTAATAATAGACAAAAGCCTAACACCATTCTTAAGATATTGATTTCTCCTAAACATTAGAATAAAAAGGGAAATATCATAGAGATAATGGTCATAATATTTCCAGCTCTAATATTCCAAATGTTAGTTTTGAATAAAAGTTAAGACTGTATATAAGCATATAAACTTTTTGTCTCTAATAGAACTTAAACACTTTCTTCCATCACCAATAGCCGAAATCAGATGAAGAATGCTGACAAAATGCTTCTTAATCAGATTTTTATACATTTTTTGATCAGTTCCGGAATTGATCAAATAATTTTTTTTTTAAAAAAAATGAAAGGATAGTTTAAGCAACAAGTGGTATTACTTGCCCAATGGTACTTGAAAAATGCTATTAGAAATAGAAAAAAATATAGGTTCAATTCTGCTCCTTCTACATTTTGGGAGTGGGGACATGAGAACCTTCATTACATAGAACTGGGGAAAATTATCTAAATGGAAATAACCACACGGACAAACCATGCTCTCTGATTATAACCACTCGAAAATTTCCCAAGTAAACAGTGTCTGTGAATTTGTCTCTCTGACAGACACCACTTTTCATTTTTGAACAACTTGGCAAATACAGCTAGAGGCAGAAGTCTTAAGGACTCGAAAATCTGCAAGTTATGTGAAGTGGTATTGAATAGAAGAGGGAGGCCTGAGAGCCAGTAAGGACAGCCACACCACGAGTAGCACCAAGAAAATTGTCTAGGAGAGGGCTTTATAAACTCTCCTAACAGGGCAATCTAGAGTGTTGACACTTTCTGAGATGTTAGATTGGCTTGAATGTAGAAATCTGTAGGAAACCTGCCTTTAGCTTCAGTCTTAAGAGAACAATTTGTTTCTAGAAAAAAAAAAACTTAGAAAAAGAGTATGCCCAAGGCAAGTTGAACGCAAGACAAACATGACAACAGTCCTCTTCGCTAAATTAGCTGATGCTAATGATTAGTACTATTGTTCAACTCAGCTGTTAACTTGTACTGATTTCTCAGTGCTTAATTCCCAGCTAATTTCAAAGGGATTTATGCATGAGCTGAGAGTTAAACACAGGCTTGAATGCAGTATTGACATAGGAATTGTATAGGCATAGATTTAATATGAAACACTTTCTGAACGCAGGCTTCAGCAAGGTCTTGACATACATTGGAATTGAATTGATTATTCACATTCCTAAAGATCACTGCAGCCTCTTGCACGATGTTGAATTAGTGTAGAGTAAGGGAGTCTTATCTATGAATTTGCCAAGTGGATTGGACCATTGAAGTCGGCGGTGGTGAAAGAAACCTCAATCAGTTTCTTCTCTTCTGCATCTGGCTTGGCAGCAAGTCAAGAGCAACAATGGTGCTCATTTCCTATTCATGTATTATGCATAATTTGTTTTGAATACCTTGTTTATTCTAACATGAAGCCTATATTTTCATTTTATATTTGTACTACAGTAAAGGAAATATATGAGAACTGAGGCTTCTACTCAGCTATCGAGCCACAAATCAATAGAAAAAAAGTTTTAAGATGGCTTTGAAATGCCTGCATTGATAAAGCTATATCCATTCTTCTTTCTTCTGCTACTGGGGCAGGAATAATAAATATTTTAAGAATTCAGGAATAGATGGGAGTAGTAATACTGACTAAGCAGAAACTGTTTGCCAGGAGATTAGGCTTTAGTTGGGAGGATTTAAATATGTCTGGCATGTCAAAGCAATGTGACAAGGCAGTGTTTTCATAATGTTCTGCATACACCTCCTAACTTGTTGTAAAAGGATGACTGTTGCCAGCTTGCTTTGTTCTTGTTAATATTTTTGAGGATAAGAAAGTGAAATGGCTCCATTTCAGGAATTAAGTCATTTCTTTGTGCCAGAATGCTGACAGGAACTCTTGGGAAGGAAAGATAAATTAGAGGTCTGACTCCTGTATCTCAAAAGCAAAGTCAACATTGCTTGAAAAGAGCTTTGCTGTTAATTCTTCTAACATTGCAGATGTGAATGTCAAACATTTTTTCTGAGTGAGTTTCTGTAATTTGAAATGGAAGAGACTGATGAATTCAAGCACTTAAAAGTTCTGATTTTGGAAGTCAGGGACAAGGTTTGGAAAGGAGAGGTCAAAAAAATCAGCAAGTGTGGCACATGGCTCTTAGTCAATACAGTAGTATTAGCTGCAAAGCACTATTTGCTGCCCACATCTAATAGGATATTAGCCTATTGACAAGAAAACATCAAATAGCTGTGTTGTCTCTGCCACTGATTATTGCAACTCCCTCCAAATTGCACTTTTAAGGCCTTCTGCTTCCTTAGTGTAGGCTATATTCAAATCTCTAGTGAATAGCTATTTGCCTTCATTTTGCTCCTAAAGGTCAGCCTTTCCTATGGGTCAAAAATGTGAAAACTCCCATCAACAGCAGCAAGAGATGTACTAGCCCCCCTCCTAGTACATCTCACGTAGACCAGCTTTCTCATGACCTGTCCTGGTCAAGGCACTTCTGTTCACTTCTTGCTTTATTCCTCTGACATGGAAATTTGAGTGCTTATTTCTCTTCATTGGCCCTTTCTTTGCTGTTGTAAATCCTTCTCTTACCAGGACATGGCCCTTTGCTCTCTAGTTTCTTTTGTTGTATTGAGAGCCTTCTTCTATTATCACATCAACCGTGCCTTTCAATTTCTATCAATGACCCAACTCTTGTGCCCACAGCGCAGCCCTACACATGGTCATTTTCTGCCCCTCTTCCTTCAAAGCCCCTCTCATAGCAGTGCTGCATGATGATGGTGAGGTAGAGGATAAATGGACTGTGACCACCTGGGTTTGCTCTTGTCCTATACTGCTGCTTGTTTGCCTAATTTTACCATTTCTCCCATATACGTCCTAGAGCGGGAATGCTTTGGGCAGGGATTGGGTAATTTGGAACTGATGTGAGTACAGTAATTCTTGTCTCTGATAGACATTTCTAAACTGAACCGTAAGACCATATCGACATCACTTAACTGCATTTTCTGATAGCACACAGAGGAAATGACAAGAAAGTCTACAGAGATAAGGAGTGAGAACTTTGGGTAAGGATGACTCACAGGGAAATCTGTCAACATTTCAGAGGAGGAGTCACATCAAATGTTCACCTCTTCATCTTGCAATGGCTCTTCAATCAGCTATCTGTAGTTATGGGCCGGGCCCTTTGCATCAGTTTGTGCATGTTGGTGTATATGTTCTCAGCTGAGGGGTAGTATTTGAAACAGCATGAACCTCTGGGCAAATATGCTAGAGACCAGGAGAAGGAGTTCATTCACTCGCCGAGAATACATATATGTTGAAAACTGGGGAGTCTAGTCCTTTGCCTTTTCAGGGTAAACAGATGAACATCAGACATCAAAGGAGGGCTCAAAACTGCTGAGAAAACACTCTCTTTAGCAGAACTGTGTTGTAATTCCTCCCATATCTTACAAATAAAAGCAACAGAAAACATACACTAACGATACAGCACAGCTTTTTCATAAGCTGGGATTAGTAGCAGGACATTGTTATAAAAAGAGCGGATGTTTTCCTCTGGGAAACTATTAAAACTGCACAAATTCAGGCCGTTCGAGGCCAGAGAGAAATGAAGTGCTATTTCTGTTTCTGTTTCTATTCCTGTTTGTTGAGACCGTCCTTTTACAAACCATGTTTCTGTATATTTCAGTATACTCTGTATATCCTGTACATATAAAATGACAACATTTTTGAATCAACTTCCCTTTTCGCATTCAAAAAATTAATAAAATGCATTCATCTCAACATCTATATCTTTATATCTACATTACTTGGCCAAACCAGATGACAGGAAGTTATTTTCTCCTTTCAATGTGTGTATATAAATCGATGGAGCAACACTGTTATGAGGTAATTTAAGAAGTTTTGTGGCAACAGCTGGGGACATAACTACTTGAAAATGTGGATGCAAATTGGGGCTGGAAGATAAGATTCAATGAAATTAGTGAGTTGCAGCTGCTGTCTGACACAGATATTATATACAGTAACATCTTTTTAGATCAGAGGCAGACAGCCCTAAGATAAGCAGTCATTGATCTATCTTCTGACAAACTGCAGACAAGATAAAGACATTAGGTGGCGACCGAATTTTCCACTGTTCACCTTGAATCTTCTCATTTGTGCAAACACTTTCTGTCATTTTGGTACTGAGCAGTGTGCAGTTCAGAAACCCCTTTCCCTCCCACACATTACCTGTGATTGCCAGCTGTGTGACAAAGAAGGTCATTCGAGATTTCCGCTTCCTCTTCCAGGTGGAGAACAGCACGATGGCATTTCCAGCAATTGTGACAATAAAGAGAATCCAAAGTGTCACCAGCTGCTCAGTCTGAGAACAGAAAAAAAGCATATAGGTAGGTCAGTGGATAGTAACTTGGGTTAAACCAGTGAGTTAGTGTCAGGGAAAAAAAAAAAGAAAAAAAAAAACAAGAAAGAGAGTGAGTTAAATGTGAGTTTTGCTAATTGCTTTTAATCATTTCTTCCAAAAGATATTCATTGCACGTATTTCCTTTCAGAAAACATTAGCATGCACCCACAGATGTTGATATTCATTCCAGTTTTATTTGCAATGTCTGCATATTACTTATATTTTCACAAAATCACTAGAAGCATCTGTGTTCAGCACTTAGCACTAAAATGAGAGGCAGTCTTCAGTTTTCTTGTGTTGCTCCAGCAAACTGTGAAATAACCAGCTGCCTCATTTTGTAAGGAATATTGACAGCTTGGCTCCTTCAGATAAATTTGGGGAAATAACCACTTCTTCCCAGCCACAGTGGGTATGGGATGCAATTTTGACATCAACTCTATGATCTAGACGTAACCAAGATTGCAAGGCAAGCACGACCGACTGCAAGGAAAAGCGAAACTGGGAGGCGAGCAATACATGATGACCAAACGGCCCCTAGTGGCAGTGTGCGCAATGGGAAGAGGTAGGAAAGTTGCTCATGTTTTCAAAGCATCCGGATCCTCTGGACACAAAGTTAAGGACGCACACATGCGCATTTCCTTCTGTGGTATGAGCACATGCATCTTATCTTATCCTGCCAAAAGCCACTTGTTCATCTCTATGCACAAGACAGATATTTTTTCACTGGCTGCTCAGTAGGCTTCTCCTGGCCAAGTAGGACTGTGAAGTCCCTGTTTTTTCCTTGCCGGATGGCCAGCTCCGATGCTGAACCTGAGATGCAGTGAGTACAGATGGAGTCACCATGGCATTTCTGTATTTCTGCAGACTTTTTGTTTAGAAAAGCTGTCCTGTGTGAAACTACATGTCATGGCCCAGAGGAATTCAGCTTGCTGCTCTTCTGCAGCAATTAGATAAATCATAGAAATTATGCTTGATGCAGTTTTGTTCGAAGAGCATAATAGAGAGGAGCTCAGAATGAAAAAGAAGTCCTGACATACCAACAGCAACAACATGTACGTTACTATTAACTTCTATTAACTTGTTCAGTCCGTGAGTAAAAAAATAACGTGTCTCAGTGGAACTACTAGTTATGAAAGTAAAGCCATCTTCCAGAAGGGTCTCCATACATTTCCTCTCCCCAAACCTGCTCCTGCTCCCTGTTTTTGGCAGACTCCTGCTTTTGATGACGTTGCACAAGGAGACAGGTTGCAGCAGGTACGTCTGGCAGGACCACGAGTCTCCCACTCTGCCTCCTTACAGCTTTCCTGTGCTTCAGCTGCACGAGTCGCCCGCATTCACATCCTAGCAACAAGGCTGAGATGCCTGATGTGCCAAATCACTTGTTTGGGATCTCCATGTTCCTGCCACCAATCCCACACTGAGGGGGCTAGAGGGAAAACAGGAGGAGCAAGATGAGGGCTGCAGCTGCAGTATGACCTGTGCTCCTTGCCTGCTGGCCCTCATGAAGAAACCTTCACCAGCAAGGCTGGAGGAAAGGGGCTCTTGGTGTGACCCGTGCAGCAGTCGCTGCTTTGGGCAGCCACTAACCCAGACCTACCCAGCCAGCTCCCACCTTTGGGAAGACAATATAGAGAAACATGTAAGATTTTACATCATATTTGTCCTTGAAATTGGAGGACTCTCATTGGGATTTTGTTTGTTTCCATTTCAAAAAAGATCTTTTGCATATGAAAAAAAATGTAGGGAGAAGTTTAGCTCTGATTTTCTCTGATGTGCTCTGAAGTGCTCTTAGGAAAGCATTTTCTTGAAAAAAATGTATTCCTATATTATCCTGATAAAAGTTAAAACAGAATCAGTCTCTGACATTCAGGTCTTATGATTCCTACAGAAAGAGAACCTCTGGAGAGGCAGAGGCTGTGCTGGAGGATGTTTCCACACCTTGAGGACAGTACATACAATCAGTTTAAATCCCATTCTGTCACAAGAAAGACCACTGCTTAGCGGTTTAGTAGTTTTAGGTGCTATGGAAATGTAATATTCAACCACCCTGCAGAAATGAACTAAAAGGTAAAAAAGCTGAATAAAAAAAATATGTTTTTGAAAGGATGTAGACAAAGGAATAAAGCCAGGGTTTCTATTCCTTCTGTTTGTGGTAGCTTCCAGTCAGAGAGAGAAAAAAAGATCTCATTCTTCAGGATTAAGGAGATATGATAACAGTCAAATCACTGCAGCCTCTCCAAGGCTGCATGAGCGTGCAAAAGAAATATTCTGTGGTCATAAATTGGATGCCCACACTGATAAAGACTGTCACGACAGCTAGGATCAAAATTCAGAACGACATTGATGTAGTAGAAAGGTGTGCTGGAAAATAACAGGATGCAGTTCAGTAGAGGACAAGTGTTGGGGTCTACATTGTGGCAGCTGTAGCCAGCTCAGGTTGGGCAAGACCTCATCATCATCATCTCTATGCCAGGCGTGTAGCGGGTGAAGTGTCTCATAACTGGAACATTAATTGAATTAATAATGTGCTACCATGGAAATGGCCAGCACCACCATGGGTTCAACACCAGGGTAGCGCCCCCCCTAAGCCATGCACTATAGCCCATTGCTGAAGACAGTCTCTTTCAAGAAGGACGCAGACCGATGGCCGCAGAAAAGACTGACTGACTGAAGTTGTGTAATCTAGCAAAAAGCAGGCTGCAGGAAAATATGATTGCAGTCTTGAACAGGCAAAAAGGCAGCTGCCAAAAAGGAAGGGAATAGTCTCTTCTTGAAATTCACTGCAGATCAGTCAAAAATCAGTGAAGCAAGATTACAGCAAGGAATTCAAGTGGACCAGTAAAAAATATAGTGATCTAAATTGATCGAGGCAGTGAAGCCTCCACCCCTTCAGGTCTTAAAAATAACTATTAGATTAGAGATATAGCTGATCTGTCCCTGAACTTCAGATATATTTTCTGTAATTCTGTTACATTTCTCACACTCAGATTGCTTAAACATAGAGGTGCTTCATTTCATATCTTATTGTTTATTAAATAGATTTTTTTTTACAGAGAGATTTTTCAGAAATCATTGTTTAATAACATCTTACATGGGCACCAGAGGTGTTCTGGAAAAGAAAAAAAAATATTGTCTCCCCAAACTCTATGTAGAAGCTGCTGGCAAGGGGTGCCTTTGCAATTTAATTGTAAACGTATTAAATCACACAAGAACACTGTGATAGTGGTTAGTTTCATACACCAGTTCTTTTAGATTAGCAAAACTAAAAATGCTGGTGACTAATTGAAGGTCACAGTTGCCCCAGTGCGACTACAGCTATTGTATACATTGCAAGTCCATAAGACTGCTGTGTTCAGAGCATGGAAGTGCTGGACACGAGGAGCACATATGCATATTCTGCTAATTTGCTTAGAGATTAAAGCCAGCTCTTGCTCATGAAACATGTCTCTTCACGGAAGGAATGTAAGCCAGAAAAACCTCTCTCAAATTGGTGGGCATTTTTATTCTCTTGTAGAAGTGGCTTGTTACTTTGCCTCTCTGACAAAATTTCTGAATTCATTGGCTGCAATAAGTCTAGCATGACATGTTCTGTGCTTAACACTTGAAAAATCATTTCTGTGAACCTTGTGTGTTACTCACTCTTGGCTCATAAACCATCCATAGACAGAAGGGATCCTTCTGGGTTGTAGGCATCTTTTATTTTACTGTCTCTTGCACCTATCTAATATCAATGATTTTTTTTCCTCTGAAGTCTGCTTGCAGGCTCTTCATACAGTAACTCTGACTTGTTGCAGTGGGGGGAGTTCAGTCATGGGATATGTTTAACACAATAAATGCCTGAGTATGAGTTAACTTCTGGTTTTTATCCTGGATTACTTCTCATTTTGCTGATTGTGATGGGGAAAGTATGAAGTCTGGCATTCAAAGAAAAAGCACTCTCTGAAGATCAGTAAATAGCAGAGGAGGAAAGCATGCCCTAGTGACTGGGGAGCTGTGCCTTAGGGAGTGGTAAAAAACAGAATGAATAAACCTCCCAGGCAAGACCTGAAGAGAGATACCAGCCCAGGTACCTCATACTCATCCAGCCCTGGCAGCAAAGAGTAGTTCTGGTGCAGTATCTTCAATTGAGTCAGTAGCTAAATCCTTTGAGACCGACGAGGAGACATTTTGGTACTGTGATGCTGCCCCTGCTTCCCATTCTTCCCAACCATCCTTGTTGCTCACTTGTTTCTCAGGGATTTACATCCCGCCATGGCACAAACCAAAAAAATGAGAGGGAGGTGTGCAAAGGTCTTTAGGTCTTTAGGTAACTGGCTAGCCTCTTCACATTAAGAGAGGAGGGCTATAGTAAACCTTAATGCTTGAGAAGGGGACACCCTATTGCTGCACATCTCTCATCAGGACATCAGAGTGAAGAAAAGGGTCCATTCTTTGATATCACAGGGAATTCTAAGTTTGGAGCTGACTAATGATTTTCACCGAATTTTCTCTGAATGATTTTTTTCTTATTGGTTGATTAAATTATGCAAGCAGTCTGACCACTTGCCTTTGGTTGCTATTAAGAATAATGTTCCTAGTGTAATTTATTGTAGCAATAGAGACATAATAATAATGAAACAAATATTTTCACAAATTCTTATCAGATAATATGAAATAAACTTATAAATCTGCTTGTTAGGTTGGAGAACATGGCATGTTCATAATCAAGTTTACCCTAGTAGATTATATTGCACATTCAGAAAAGAAAAGAAAAGAAAAGAAAAGAAAAGAAAGGAAAAGAAAAGAAAAGAAAAGAAAAGAAAAGAAAAGAAAAGAAAAGAAAAGAAAAGAAAAGAGAAAAGAAAAGGAAAAGAGAAAAGAAAAGGAAAAGAGATAAGAGGAAAATTAAGAGGAAAATTATCTTTTCCCCCTTAATCTCTGAAATAATCACTTCAAATGGAAGCCCATGTAAGCTAAAGGAG